CCTCGTTAATTGCCGATTCGTTTTGGAAACTGCTCGACATTGTGTGGGTGCTATACTCATGTACAATATTGTAGTCTTGAACGCGAGAGTTATATAGAAAGAGAAGAAGAAGAAAAAAATAGAAGCTTTTGATGAAATGAAGCAGCATCTCAAAGAGTTGGGGGGTGGTGGTGTTGGTGTTGGTGATGATGATGATTGCTCGCTCGCATACATCGTCATCAGGGAGATCGATGGGTAATTAAAGCCAGCTCGGAAATGTTCCATCTTTCATCGTGACGAATCTCTCAATCCATCTGCATGCATTTCTTTGTCCTTAACTCCGTACGTAGTACAGGATAGAGGAGTAAATGAGTACTGTACTGTATATTCCGCTTATTGTGATGATACACGCATATACTGTGTCTGAATTGAACGGTCCATATGGTCATATCCCTTATGTACGGCGGAGCAGTCATTTTCGATCATGGAATATACAATCCCCTCCCCCTCTGCAGTTATTATGTCTGCAGCATTATAGGTCGATTTGCATTCGAAACAGATGATTTGCACCGGGTCATCAGCTTACGACTGCAGTCGTATACAGCATAATGCGCGCAGCAGCAAGCAGTTAGTATAAATTCAGTGAATGTTATTGGCACACAAAGAAGGAGCAGAAAATGAAGAAAGAGATGAAGCACAATCACCAAGTACAGTAAAGTAGTAAGGTGCGGTACAGTACTGTACTCCGGCTTGCACATATATAGATTCGATGCTGCATGGGTGCTTTGCAGCAGCACCGTTTCCCAAATACAGTGCAGTATGTACTTTTCCCGGTATATAAATACATTACAGTATACTAAATACGACGAGTCGATCGAGAAGAGGATTAAAGCGACAAATGCGAGAGAGAGAGAGAGAAACGTTCTGTTGCTGCTGCTGCTGCTGCTGCTGCAACCTTCCAACTTCTCACTCGCCTCAAATTGATAAACTTGAGGCTCGTCCTCATCTCAACAGGTCGAGAGTGCTCGGCTGTCCCGGTGAGTGCTGCTGAGTATGAGGAAATAACAAACTGCTTCAATCCCCGCCATGCACAGGATTCCAAGAGAGATAGACATCATCAAACGCCTCGTCCTCCGCCGGCGGGTCTTGATCCGATCCCCACCCCCGCCCAACCCTCAGCATCCGCTTTATTCATTCTTTTCCCATCTCCAATTTCCACCCGTTACTTTTCAAACTTCTTCTTCTGCTGCTGCTGTTGCTGCTTTTCGGGGCAACAAAAAAAACAAAGAAAAAGGACTTGCATAATGTCCCGTCGTCGTCGTCGTCGTCTTTCGCCCGCCAACAGCGGAGGGGGACTTACATTGCTGTACTGCAGCACGCATGGATATTCAGTGCAGTATTAAACATAGTCCCATCAGGTACGTGAACTGACACACTGTACGTATGTATACATGCAGTGCGTGCATCAGTTCATTATTTGACCCAGGCGTAAATGAATACTTCTCATTCCAACCAGCAGCAGCATACCACCACAGCATCGTCCCTCCTCTTGATATACCCGCATCAATCCATGATTTCTCAATTCATTCCGACGGCATCTTCTCGATGAGCAACATGAACCAGCACAAGAAAAACACACCAGAGGGTTCCATATTAATCCACCATTATAATGCATGTACTTTATATACTGTATATAGACATGCATGGACACATAGGTGACATGGACAGGTGAAACTCACTCTTGTCTCATAACATTACCCAGCTGCATCATTCTCTGTTGTATATATGCACTTATATATGGCAGAGTACAGAACAGTGAAAACTGCTGTACTCGACGAATATTTTAGACCGTCGCATATCAGCACTCACACCACGATCTGCATAGGTTTCCAGCAAAACAACAAAAACATTACCAATACAGTACTCTGCGGTAAAAATACGTCATTGCTAACATTCAAGTCTCGGCTAATATATTACGTACGATACGAATCTCATCATCAAGTTTTCCATCAGCTGATTAAATCCCGCAAGTAAAACTTTCTGCCTTGATTTCATGGCAAAGTTCATCGCGATGCATCTCATATACTGTATACAGATTCTCTCTCCGTGACATACACAGATACACTGTGCAAGCAATGGAGTACATTATATACATAACAGTGCTGTACAGTGTACTTTATTTGCCAACGAAAGAATAGATATGCCGCGTTTGCTTATTCTCATCGTAAGAAATCTCGTCCTGCATGTCAAACCCGCAAATCGAGACACCAAACAGCTGTGCATCCAAACATACAGTACAGTACTACATCACTCCAATAAGAAATGCACCGTAGCATTGTTCCGTACTATGTATACTAATAAACAGACGAGACTCAACGGACGTCTTGTTTACCTCGAAAAATCATCGAGAGGTATACATTCAACAGCGGAGCCTTATTCTTACGTACGTACGGTCCTGTACAGTACTTTGAAAATCCGAGTGCTGCCTAACTTGGAAGCAGAGCAGTGAAGTACGGTATAGGTAAGTTTACATACTGCTGGAAAGAATTTGTAATATGATGGATGGTAACGTGCCGGCGATGTCGAGAGCCACTATAGTGTTTGATATGTATAATACGGATCGAAAAGCAAACAAAGTGTGATGACAGGCGTCAGGAGATTAGCAGCAGCAGCAGCAGCAACAAAAGGCAACCCAGCATGAACAGAGGTCAACAAGTTAGCCTCCTCCCCCTTTTTCAGTTGCCGTACTTGGCATCATTCTTTCCTTCCGTTGTTTTACATACGCATACAGCACAGGACTATATATAGGGTACCTTCTCGCGGAGTGGATGACGATGAGCCCCTTTCACTCCTCACTCATTTGAGAGCATCAGTATACTTTACAGGATAAAAAGGAGACGCAGCAGTGAACAAACACATACGCGCGTCGCGAGGTTGAGGGGTGACAATTTAATTCCTCGTAATGGACTCCGCTCATTCGATTCGACACGCAACCGACCTTCTCCATCACCAGCCTGCACCCGTGCTATGCATGCTGCTGGGTTTCCTATACGGCAGCAAGCAAACCCACCACAGCTGCATAATGTACAGTGCAAGTCATCTCCACCGTCAATTGAGAGTACAGCAGCTAGTACAGAACAGTACAGTCAACCGACAATCATCATCGTCTTTCATCAACAGACGCTGTAATATTCCCCCCACTCTCGGTGCTACCTTTTTCGCATGCGACACAATACGAGTTAAAGAAGCGACATAATTGCTGTAGAGAAAAAGACTTTCCATCCGGGGAAGGCCGGCAGCAATAAAACGGATCTCAAACTTATGTGATGTACGGCAAACGCAGTGTGCCTCGTAAACCGGCAAACTTCCCAAAAGCCCACCCACTGTACAGAACATAATCACGAACGCAACATTCGCCCGATTCCAACGTCGTCGTCCGCGGTGACTCACACTAGTACTGTACAGTACTTGAAATTAACCAATGGGCGACCACATGGCTACTGCTGCTGCTGTATATATATGTATATACCGTACTGTAGTAAGTTTTCATGCAATCACCCAAAAACGAACGCTGAAAACTGGACTGTGGGGAGTACAACTTGCGCATTATTATACTCACTTGGTGATACTGTATTTGGCAGCAGCACACGCATGCAGGGAGCGGGGAAATGACTCAGCTATATACTGTAGATCCCGTTACTCAGTTATATATCGTCAACTCAGTCACTCGCGTGTCCACGGATGAAATGCAGCAAGTCAAAAGCCAAGAAAGAAATAAATAGGCCGTGCTTCGGGCTTCTGTCATATCTCCAGACTCGATCAAGGAAAGCATCGAGCTGAAAAGCGGTCAAGGGGATTTCACGGCATAGACAGCGACTCTATATATGCATCACTTGACACGTGACAAATGGCGACTTCATTCCGAGCCGGGTCCGGATTTAGGCCCTCCGATTATTTATCGCACGGACAGGCCTCCATCAAGAAGGCCAGCCCATCATCTTTTCTTTCCTCCCCGCAAAAAAAAAATTGAACAAAAAAAAGAGAATAAAAGGGCAAGAAAGAGAGACGTATTCCAATAAATGCTATAGGAATCCTGACCATCAGGGTTTCTTCCCCACCACCGACCGGCGCACGTGTACAGTACAGTACTCAGTAGTTGACCGTCGGATCCTCACTAGAACGCACACAAGCTCGACGGGTGGGTGTGACCGGTAATTTTCTACAGACCATAACACGGAAAAACCGTATCTCCACTACACACACACACATATTTATGTACAGAACATTCAATTCTGTACTGTAACGTGATGTACTCTGCAAAGGATCCCCTTCAACAGCAAGCATACCATTCCATGCACTCAACAATTTCTCAGCCAGACACGTACACGTATACAAACAAGTATTGGCAGCATTCGATGCCGCCCAACGTACAGCATATGTATATATGCTGTACGTTGGCGGCATCGAATGCTGTTCGCAATCAACACGCTCAAACTTTTAACAACAGTAACAAACGCAGTCATCGGCCTCGCTCCTCTTCATTACTTGCAAACAATCATACACGCGAACAGCCTCGGAAATAACCAATTGGTAACCGAGTAATGAAGGAATCACTGTCAAGTCATCACAACGACGACGGGCATCAGTAGACAACAACCACAGTGTCCTCGTTGTGGCTCAACTGGCCGGGCTCGTACTCATCCACGGGAATCGACCGCACATTTATTGACCTGTCGAAAACAGGATCCGAACGCTCTTTTAATTCGGCTTCGTTTTAGAAGATCGGCCGCCTGACCCAGCCAATAGGTAAACGCGCGACTCCAATCCATCTGCATGCACCACACACACAAGCATTTAACGCGATCACCCGTCGTCGCGTGCGCGTCGCAGCTACGAGGCAAGCGAAAGTTGTGTCGCCTTTTTATTTATTATTTTCACCATTTCTTCCCCCTCATTATTCTCCCTGACTTGACCCAATACACGCTCGTATCCCATTTATGTCCACGCAAACGTCATGAGTTTCACGGGCGACTTTGACCGCTTTCCCCGTCCTCCCCAGCACATTCGACAGGCCCCGATTTTCTCGGGTCTCGCGTGCAGGCACGGTTGAATATCTCCGTGCAGCATTCCTCGCTTTCATAACTCGACACACCCACATGCAGGCACACAAAGGCGACAAGTTTCAGGGCATGGTTGCCGAATACAGCACCGTAATAGAAAGGCTGAGAAATTCCATTCGTCAACGGCGAATTGGAACTCCCAAGGAAACAAATCAAAATAAAACAGCGACACAGTATTTGCATCGAATGCACGTCCAAAATTACCTCAAGATCTTCCGCTCGAGTTTACTGTCGATGTCGGCGAGCATGTGGAGGTACTTGCCCCTCGCGTGTCCAGACAGGGTCCACACGTGCTCGAAGAGGTACGAGACGGAGGCACACTTGAGAAAGAGCTGTCGTGACACGGACTCAGGGATCTGAGGGCACATACATGCACTCAATAAACAACACAACAAAAACACGCACCAGTCAAAATGCAGGCATGCATCGATTCGAAATGCACCTACCTGAAGGTTGAAGCGCGTAGTGACGATCCTACAACCGACGCCGCTCACGCAAACCAGGTCGTGGAAGGACGGGCTCCAGGCAGCTTTCCAGTCGTCGACGATCAACTGCAAGCCTTGTCCGCCCGTCTCCTTCTTCACCTGGTTCAGCAGATTCATGCCAGCACTCAGATCCAGCAAGCAGTCTTCCAAGAAAAAGAAAAGAGAGTGCCACGAGAAAGACACGCATTCAACACAGAACCTTTGACGTGCCCCAACGAATTCTTCCCTTCGTCTCGCCATTCACTCACCGAAACAATCCCGGACGCCGTCCTTCTCAAGCAACTCTTTCTCAGCTCGTGAACCCGAACCTTCGTGAGTCATCAGCAGAACCCTAGCACCCCATTGTTTGGCCAATTGGGCACACGTGATGGCGAACGGCGTCAGCCCACCAGTTATCATCACTGAAAGCGAGTACCGTTCAACACACCGAGGAATCAACTCCAGTAAAAACCCTTCGCGACATCTACAACAAAGTACTGCAACTAGGCAGCAGCTCAAGCCGATATCGACAGCCCCGAGTAGGCAGATCTATGGATGCAACATCAAGCTCACCAGTGTCATCCCGCGAGAGCCGTCCCAGATGACTCAACGCTGTATACGCCTTCACGGCATTCCGAACAACGCTGGCTGCCGTATCAAAACTAACCTGGGCCAGTAACGGAGCTGCAAACATCGATAGCGGATTTTCAAAACCATGTTGATGTTCGTCATGATCAATGAAGAGAAAACGCTCACCCACTTCCGATTCGCTCAAGGTTATCTCAGCGGGCGAGTCCAGAAGCTGGGCGCCGTCGAACGGAATCATACCTTTGGGCGGGGGAGAAGACATACAATGATAATATCGTAAATACTTAATCCTTGGATTCAAGATTTCCAGGGCTGCAGAAAATTTTTTAAAAAATAAATAAAAGAAACATACACACCGAAAACCCGCTGGCCCGGCAGCACCCCGGTCACTCCGGGAGACACGGAACGCACGACCCCCGCAAAGCCCGACACGTGCATTGCCTTGGGTTCCCGACACACGCTGCTAGCTGGAAGCACAAACAACTCCTCTTCGCTTCTGCTCCGCTTCCCGTCCCCAGTGGCCGGTGCCGACGGCGTGTTCACGCACGAGAACGCCTTCACCTGCACCGTCACACTTCTGTCCTGCATCACACGCATACCGCCCACGCGCAAGAAAACTACTCCACAATCCTGTCACTCTTGGAGGACACGAAGACAGACAAGACAAGACAGAAAGGGCAAAATTCTCGCCATCTTCCAGACGCATGACTCCCAAAACACATGGAAATTGAAAAATAAAACGTGCGGATTTCAACTGGAGCACAACCACATCGTTGTTTCGAACTTCGCCAACAAGGGAGAACATGAAAAAAACATAGGCGCGAGTATCACAACTAGATTCCATCGATTCTTGCCAAGAAACAATCTTCTTCAGAGATTGTTCCGATGTTAACACAAAAATGAAAATATCTGCGCGAAACGCGAACGAATCAAGACGACAAAGGAAAACGGGTGCATTAATCATGAGATTATTCTTTTAAAACCTTGTTTCCTTCTCTTTCAATGTCTTTTTTTTTTCAACCACTCAACAAGAATATTCACATTTCAGACAAGCAATATCACTTGTTACAACGTCGTATCACGGTTTGCTGGCAGGACTCGAATGATCAACTACGGTACAATCGTCCTACATCGAGAACAAGGGAATACTTTCAAAAGCAAACAAAAAATAAAATAAAAATTGTCCGTCAACTCAAGCGTCAGTGCTGTCAATGATTTCCAGACTGACGGCAGACACGACGTTCTCGGTAGACTGAGCCCTTCGCAACGAAAAAAGGCCCGAGTCCGTTCGCAAGGAACGCAGACTCTTGCACCTCCTCAGTATCTCGCACCGGTTCGGAACAATGGAAAAGCAGACAGTAGACGACTCGTACTCGGCTACGGGATCGTGAGCACGTTCCCACTCGAGAGGTGACCCCTTTCCCATAACGATGCTGCTTCTTTTGTCGGACGCAGTGGCTGCATCCACAGTATGTGCACTACAAAACTCGGCAGAGGAGATGACGGTGCAGGAGGACGCAACCGAGCCCAAGCTCTGTTCACCGCTACAACTCGGCTCATCACTCGTTGCGCCCAGATTCCGCGTCGCAGTCGCCCAAATGTCCTGCACTTGTCGCACGCTTCGTCTGAATGAAGCTCTCAGGAACTTGGCCACCCTGGATGGTGCGAAAACAAGAAAACGATGTACAACGTGTATCATTGACGAAGAAGACTTCTCAACAGTCCACGTGCACTCACATGGCCCCAGTCGCAGTGGAATAAGACGGTGGCGGAGTGTACAATGGTGGTGGATCATTAGCCCCGGGGACCTCGTCGGCATCTTCATCTGCGTGATCTGATTGTTGATCCAACTCGACTTGCAAGTTTCCTGCACTTGCCTGCTGTCTGTATCGTGATGTTCGACTTCTGCCATGGTTGAACGTCAATGGCGGTCTGTATAACGCTTTGATTCTGCCAAACAGATCTGTCGGCCCACAGGACAAATACCTGAGGAACAGATACACGCAAATCTATTAAAATCATCATATCGTACGACGTATACCACCAGAAGAATAGGACGACTGGAATACAATAGATTAAATCATCAAATCCCTGTATTCTGAAAAATTCATACAAAAAACGCACATAAATTTGAATAAATAAATACGGCTCCAAACCTGCTTCACAGCACTCGTGAGCCATGAAGCACCCCATGCTAAAAACTTTTGCTCAAGTTCACCAAAAACGAGCTAGTGACTCACCAAACGATTTGCGCAGCAGCCACAACTGGCACCAGCAGCAAAGGTCCGACTTGAATCCATCCCCCAACTTGCCTGACTCCTTTGCTCCAGTACAGATAGAAATGCTTTCCCGCGCGCTGATCCGCGGATCCAAGGAACACTTTGGCAATCAAGGAGTCACTAGTTAAGCTATCAAATGCCGAGAGACTGGCGTTGTTACTCCACTCGGTGTCACCCCAGTACAGCATTTGTCGAAAGGTTCCAAACCAGAAAGAAACGACTGCAGTTGTCTGAAGCACAAATTGGGGAAGCCATGAGCAGAAAAAAAGATGAGAGTAGCGGAAAAACAGAACGTTACCAGCAACGCAACAGGAAGAACCAGAGTCCACAGGAGAGCAAAGCACCCTCCAAGGACACCCATCAGACAAGACTGTTTGGAAGGGAACATGGACCCCGCAATGTCCTCTGCCCCGTACGGCTTGCCCCTCACGTACAGAAGACCCAAGAGCATCAGGGCATACAGCACCATGATCCACCAAGCACAGCCCACGCAACTGTCCAGGAAGTACAGCACGTGGATCCCCACCTTCACACAAACAATAACAAATCATGATTCAACAAAATAATTTCATCACGATTCAACAAATCATAATGATTAGCCTTTCGATTTCCAAAGGAAATGAGCACTGCAACAAGGGGCGAGGAAAAAAGGCAAAGGGAGATGATCACCTCAGACATGAAAGGCAAGGAGAAGAGGAATGCGGCAAATGAGGTGACGAAACACACTGTCACAATCCACTTGCGGAGAACAACGGACTTGATTGATACCAGCATGTCGAGAACAGTCCTCCACGTCACCAGCTATAGCACAACCAAGCAGACAAATGAAAAAAGAAAAACGCTTTTCAGTCAAGAACATTCGACGCCGTCACAGTTGCCCAGGGACTCTCACCAACACAGCAATCCCCAGGAAAACCAGGGCGAAGTAGAAAGACATGGTCCAGAATGGAGAGAGACTAGGGCCAAGTACCACTGTCGCAGCGGGATAAATTTCCGTGGCAAACCTCAGCGGCGTGTAACCGCTGAAACTGGAACATGCAACGAAGAAAGGCAATGAAGTACAAGGGATGTCGTTGATAAAAACGAGTGTCCTTCAAGGGATCACTAGCGAACCTGGACGGTGAAAATCTTGATGAGGCAAACACAATCCCAGTGAATAATGCGTTGGCTCGTGTTTCCAACTCCCTCATTCTCTGACTCTGACTCAAGAAGTTGCGCATGTTTGGCTCCTCTATAGATGAAAATGGGCAATAACTTTACAATTCAACACTTGGCAGCAAGCCAACGCAACACCCAAGATACCAGGTGATGGCCTCACCGAAAGACGAAGGAATGAAGTCAAAGCCCGCCTGAGCCAAAATGTGCAAACACGAGCCGCACGCGAAAGCGGCCAAAAAGAGCGGCGTGACAACAAATAGCGTCACAAGCAAAAGATCCAATACAATGCGCCTTCGTTTTGGGTTGTGCGCCGCCATCTGCATCACGGCACACCCACTCAAGCCCCAGACAAAGAACACCTCCCTGCTCACTGCGACCCATTGCTACAATCAACCAACCACAGCAAAAACAAGAAGAAAATAGGAGGAGTAAAAGAATAAAACATTGAATCGCACGCTTTCTGCAATCAGATTTTCAAGTCACGACGTTTCACCTCTAAATTTTGAAATCCATCTGTCCAAACAGGGTATAGCAAACTTGGCAGCCCTGAGAACCCGTACTGTTGTCCAACTGCTACTAATTGTGAACAAGTGGCACAAAGTGCGATGATTGGGACCAGAACAACAAAAAACAGCACCTTCCCAAATGAACGCAGGCCTAAGCAAACCCAGAAAGAAAGCAAGAAAAAAACCAAATTACCGAGTTCTCTCTCTCCCATTTATTTCATCTCATATGTTCCATTTGGATTTCTTACCACGAGAAAGGATGACGAAAACAAGTATCCACACAAGACCCAGGTGGAACCCAGGCTCAAACTTGATATGGCTCACTGCACTACCACCGCCAAAAGTGGAGGCAACAGGTGCGCTTTTATTGAAAATTTGGCGACTGAAATGCAGGCAAAAAACCACTATATACGAGCACACGTGATGCAATTGATGATTAATCACACTTACTGAAAATAATGGGAAACGGGGCCAGCTACATCCATGCCACGAGTCACTTGACCTAAAAAATCAAGTTGGTCGTCAGCACATCTTTTTTTTTTCCGTTGAACAATTCTGACTTGGTTTGAATACAAACAAATATGGCTCCTGAATGCTTGCCCTTTGGTCGATTTGTTACCCAGGCTCTACAAGAACCATTGCTCAGCTTTGCACAAGTATTTTGCTTGCACCAAACTGGGGCGGGGTTAAAGTTGAGTTGATTTATTTTTAACTCATCAAGAAAATAAATGTTAGTACCCTAGTGCCCATTTTTGTGTAGGTCTCAAGTTAATTTTTCCTTGCTGGAGAGCCCAGCAGATGATTTGCCCATACTTTCATCTGTGTGGACCCTGCATCATATGGTAGTTTTCAACCTATTTCTTTGGAAGCAATTTAATTTAAAATATAGCTTCAAAAGAGGGTTGACATTCTGTTGTTTTTATTAAATTTTCAATTTGAAAAACATGCAGAATTGATCAAGTTAAGAATGAAAAAATTGGAACTTTTTTGAGGAACCATCAAGCAGCCTGGAGGAAGAAAGCTGAGGGGGGGGGGGGAGGAGCAAACAGCATGGCCCTTAGGGGGAAACAGTAAGGCACTTGTGAGAGGGTGAGTGCTTCACTTGCAACAGTCACCCAGATCCCAATATGGGTGTCACACCTGTATTGGGATATGCTTGACTGCTATGGGTGAAGTTTCTCCCTCCCTCTGAATACTGCTGAAAAACAGTTCAGCGCACCCATGAGATATGGGTGTAGTACAGGTGCCATAACATAGAGGCCTGCTGCCAAACATCACCTGTATCCAAGTATTTCACCCATATCTAGCCAACCATGGATTACGGGCTGGATATGGGTTTTCATGCCTGTTTTTTAGGCCTGTGCTGAATGCGCCTGACTATTGCTGGGAGTATTCAAGGCAAAAGATGTTGGCAGAACAAAAGGGGAAATTTGGCATTGCCATTCAAGGAAGCCCAAGCCCATCCGCTTTCTTTTTTTTAGCACTCGCATTTTAAAAGACATTCAGTTAACAACACTCACTGCGACAAGTCGGATTACAACCATCCCAAGGCAACAACAGGGAATCCCTGAAATACGTGACCAACCAGGCCACTGGGACGGACTGCATCACACCCAATAATACTTGGGAGAACAGAAGGCCGAGTCCGACTCCTTGGAAAATGGGACACACGCTCCACATACCCAGAGCACCGACTGACAACTCCTGTCCTACGCCTGCGTTCAATTCCGTCGTAGACATAATTTAAATTCAAAACTTTGAAACAAGGAGAGTAGGATTTGTGAAAGAACGAAAACTCACCGAGAAAGAAGCCAGTCATCGGTATCCCGACAAAGAGACTCATGAGACTAAATTGGACGAGGAAACTCGGCCCGTACAAGTTGGACAAGAGGGCGAAGCGACACACATTGAACACGTTCAAATTGCAAGAGACACACGCTAGCGTGGAAGAAACCCAAGTGGGCCACTGGGAATCGGAGTCTTCCGTTCTCGATGAGTCGGAAGTGCTGAAAGATGGAGACTGCTGACGTCTTTCTGGCGTTCCAGGAACAGTTTCTGCTGGCCCTACTCAGAGAAAAAAAAAAAAGAAAAGAAACTGATGTAAAAAAATAACCAACTTACACCAACAAACGATAAGCTAACCCATTCTAGCCGAGTTGAGCAAACGTAAGCATTGATCACGGATCGGATGCCTCGTACTTTGGCTAGACTCAACGGTGGCAGTGGCACCGACGGCAGTCGCGGAATTTCGCAATCGACGATTCCCTCGACTTGATCGGGACCGGTAATTCCTTGAAAAAAGAAAAAATGCAGACATAAATTACGGGAAATATGGTGGGGGAAAAAAAGAGACAAACGCTTCCACAACCAAAATAGCACGAAGAGCGGGCATCATAATGCAGTTCCAAATACGGTATAGTAATATACATTAATTGTAAAGCAAAATTATTTTACAGTACAGTATAGTATATCATGGGTAGGATAAATGGGTTGACGGGAGGGGTTAAGCAGCCCTCGCTCGAGGTCATTGTTCCACAGCCTTATTAACCTCTCTATCTATCTCTCTCATCCATAGTTCAAGAAAGCGGTTCACTGGGCCATTGAGAACAATGCAAGTTCTCTCTCCACGACCGTTTTTCAGCCCGATTCATGCCGATTTCATCTCCAAATTCAAAACGACAGTAATTGCTCAACTCGTGCACAAAACAAAGGAGGGGATAAGAGTCACTCGTCGTGACCTCTTGTTGTTCCTCTAGGTTATCGGTGACTCGCTCTGCCGAGTCATTCATTCTCTTCTCGCGAACGGGAAGGGACCCGGAACAAGCAGGCACGAAACGGACGGCGAGCGAGGGACTTCCCTAGGTGTTTCCGGAAACGAGCGCAAGCCGACTCGCCCAACGTGCGCCTGAGGCAACTCAACCTTGACTATAGATGGCGGACATCCATCGCTTCTCAAGATACTAACCCGAGACGACACTTCATTTTCACCATATGAAATGCAGAAGTGGGGTGGGGGGAATCCTTACCTCCGTGATCACGTCAAATGAAAGAAGAAACTAACCGTTCAACAGCGGCGAGGTGATGGGCAGATCGTCTTCCGAGTTGGAGGGCCCTACTCAGATCTGGGGCAGAGACGTGAACGCCTCGTCCAGCCGCCACTCGGCCACTCGGCATTGGAGAGCCGATGTTACCCGGCATGCGTGTTTCTCGAGAAGACTCGCGAACACTCGGACTGTCGGATGAAGACTGCTGACCCGAGTTCATCAGGGAGTCCACGAGATCAGTCACAATGGCGTTCGTTGCCCGGTTCCGGGATACCCGCACCAGCGACCCGCGGCTTTCGCTCCTGAACATGTATACAGTATACGGAATGGTGCACCTTGCATCCGGATTCATCTCCGACAAAAGTTCAATGCAAAAAGGAAATTCAACATCACAGAAATTCCACATCCTCCGGAACGATCAGCGAGTAAAATTTGGAATTTATACGTAAATAAAATAAATCTGAGTATCTGATACAGAATCTTATCGTCTTCGTTTAACCAATCGTCTTCGTTTAACCAATCGTCTTCGTTTAACCAATCGTCTTCGTTTAACCAACGAGTTCCTCGGATGAGTCACGCGTTCAAGTACAGTAATGTACAGCTGATTAATTATTCAGCATACTATGGTCGGGCGATTGCAGGAAGAGGGATGTAAAATACGACGGTATTTTATCCCAATGCCTCTGGGGAATGGACCCGACTTTACTTTGAAGATTGCAGCGTTTTACAGAAAATCTACGCTCAGCAAAAAAATTACATTGCCCAACGCCGATGGAAGTGGCACCAGTTTCGCCGTTGACGGAGTTCACTCCCTCGATAAGTTGAATAGAAGTTGTGGCCAACATGCACTCACGTTCGTCGAAATGATGTTCGAACAGCGGTAGGAAGTCGAAGTCTCCGGATTCGCCGCATGCTGTCTCGCAACATTTGTCGCCCTAAGCCGGAACACCGAGATTCGCTGTCGGCTCTGAGATAATCCGACCCTCGAATTCGACTGGTCGTGGATAAGTTACTCTGCCGCAGCGACATGCTGATGTGAGCAACAGCTACTCAAATAAAACGAATCCCACGCATCCTGCAGTACACGAGCGTTGCCAATGTATTCATGTAATCACGCGTAAAAATTCATAAGGCATCTTAAATTACAATCACGCGCGGAAAAAGAGGCCCGATTGAGTCAGTTGAGGCGATCACTCCAAAATGGCCGAATGAACATGGGAGTCCATCTCACATGTCCACGCAATACAGTACACTGAACTCGTAATGCACATTTCGCATCCGTTTCCAGGAACCGACTACAGTACACTCAGGCAACAATAGCGAAGTGTAAGCCTTCCAAGAAGGACAAACCACTGAGACGCGCGCTTCACAGCGAGTGAGCTCTCACGTTCCGGAACGCTCATACGTTCCGCCTCAGAAGGCACGCGAAAGGAATAATCTTGAAAAAAAGGAAATCTCACGATCAGAGGCGTTAAAAAGTTACTTGGACTCTCGTTATTTCAAGAGACTTACTAAATCTTCTACTTCGATCGGAAAAATATTCGACTCGAAGGAAAAATCAGAACCTCAGTTTACGTCGTCATATCACAGTACAACAACTTGGGTCATTTCTACCATTGCTTGCCATCACGTTCAAACGGACAACTGGGAGCTCAGGGACTTAATCCAGCCCACGTCCCTAGCCACCAAAAACTGGCTGAGGAAACCGAGAAAATCGAATTAGCTCTTAAAACTCTGTGGACTTGAGTCCAGCATTTCATAGCCTATCTCGTACGGTGTAACGTGGTTGAACATGCATTTCGACAGTCTGAAAGCTTGGACAACTGGTTGAATACCGGCTCATAAATGCGCGCACCTTCAAATTTTGGACAGACGACCTGCGGTGAACAACCGATCCTCACGCCATAACATAGCCTTACTTTTCTATGACCTGAGCTTTCTTCGGCGTTCCTGGAGTACAATCTTGAGCGAACGGGATTCCCCGTGAACCTTCCTGATGAAGAACCAAGCGCGCAACACGGGCGCGGGCAGTATTGCCAGAATCTCTTGGTGACGGGATCGCTGCGGCAAAGAGCAGCCTGAAAATCTAAGAGCACCTCCGTCATTCCCTACGAATTGAGAATGCAGCGGTCAAGTCTGATAGCTTCGGAGAACTCTGGAGTTCTTCTTTTATTGATGAGTTCAGAACTGCACCGTGTATCACGGCCCGAAACCTCGACACTGGCAAAATATTCTTCAATGCTTTGAAAGTCAGTCCCTTAAATTAGGAAGGTCACTTCACAGAGAGGGTCGGAATGAACCAGTGTGCCCACCAAACTGTGTAGTATACACTGTAATACGTGACTAAAATAGGGCAAGCGTTTAAGCTCCCGCCGACCATTACGAAAGATGAGTCGTCAACGCCATCGTGGAGTTCGTCAATGGCAACTTCCATGCACTTCCGTCTGAAGGCAAGGATAGCCGTTGTATTATCACCCGATCTCACCCCAAGTCACGTGCTGATAGAATAGGCATGACTTATACGCCTAAAGTTGCGCGTTACAGCAGGTGCTGCTCTCCATAAACTGTGAGTGACAAAATGGTGGTTGACAAAAACGCGTATAGTTCAACTGTTCTTACACGTCTGCATGTTGCATGGTTGTGAGTTGTGACTCGCTTTACGCAAAAAAGCCAATCCTTTGCAAGTTCATCAAGGGCATGCTACTGCACAATATAGCATGCTTGTTTTCGTCAAACTTATACGCGCCGACGCCGTCATACACATTTATTGAACCCTAGTTCAAAATCGTGCACACAAGGTTGAGCAGTGACTGCGCTGCTCTGCTGAACCCATCGATCGAGCAATAACGAACACCAGCACTTCACAAAAAAATTCCTCATTGCAAACTCCGCGTCTATATACAGAAAGAGAGCTAGCACCACATAAGAGAGCTATTAAATGCTTCAAAGCAGATGAGGAATATAAGGATGAGCCACTTGGTTGATGGCTGTCTGCCCGAGGACTGCATAATATATATGGAGGGCAGCACTATACAGGGGAGAGCGGGCTCAAGCAGTATAGGAACAGAAACCTGGTCTTGACTTTCATCCACAGCATATCCGGTGGGTGATTCACGCTTGGCTGCGTCCGGCGAGCGCGTCCAGCTTGCCTGTACGGTAACGTACAGTATTACTGTTACACCTATAGACCCCAGCATTCTTTGTCCGTCCCACTGCCTCTCTTCTTTGGGGAACTCCGTGTGGACGGCACAGGCACAGCATACTCCTCCAAAATCCCACTCCAGTGTGTGCTATGCCGTCCGGCGGGTCTATTCAAATCCCTGGAGTGAATTTTCATGTTGATTCTTGAAGCGGCGTTTACTGAGGCAAACAAATTTTGAATTCCGCCAATACAATATATATTTTCACAGGAGGCCTTGTTATAGACCATGATGGCGAAAAATGTGCGCAAAGTTTATTATGAGGTGTTGAAGCATGGTACAGGTGAACCTCAGTAAGTTGCACCTCCGTAAGTAATTTTTTTTCAAGTCCCTGTCTGAATCCACTTAGAATCAATGCATTAAAAGCCTCCCTAACTCAATGTCTTTTTCTCTAAATCCTCTCTAAGTCAAATTTTCCGAGGACTTCTGGTTATCATTTCTATGAAATGTGAAAGAGAAAATCATTAAAACAAATTATTTAATGCATCTTGAAAGGAAGTGAAAGAGTAATGGAGCAAATGAACCCCTGCCTCCAAGTTCAGCAAGGTGTAACCTCATTAAGGAGTAAGTTCAGGCCCAGAATATCCTGATTTACAATTTCCCACACTTTTTTCACTTCTCCTCACAACAAAAGTGTTTGTTTTCTTGAATGGAAACCTCCAAAAATCAAAACCTTCCTGTAAGTCAAAACCTTGAGTCAATTTTTTCCTGCTCTGTAGTAATTCAACTTACACAGTTTCAATTGTAAAATATTGTTCTTGTTATCTTTTCTAGTTGCATTCATGATAGTTTAGGTAAGGTGGGATATACAGTTAAAGCATGGAAAAATATTGTTCTTGCATTTTCTATAGTTGCTGCATTCATCATCAAATAATTTTTTTACCGAGCCTCAACTCCTCATAATAAACTTTGCCTGCATTGTGTGCCATCATGGTCTGTGCAAGGCCTCCTGTAAAAATAGATTTCTGCAGAAATTCATCTTTATTTTTGCATAAGTAAATGCCGCTTGAAGAATCACTGTGGAATCATCTTTCCTCTGAATTTTGTGGAAGGAACCACTGCGGAAGTGCTCACTGCCAAAAAAGTCTCGGCAGAATTGCACTCCGTGGATGTGGACTAATCCTCTTTCAGGGGGAGTACGCTGTGCCTGCCACACGGGTCGCTCGCGGTCTTGCAGATGGGAATACAGTACTCCACACTCACAATACACTACCGTATAACGAATGATTGCGCATGCGCGTGAAGAAACCTCCCGCGGGACCGGATGTGTACTCCATGAGTATGCATACAGTATACCAAGGTACATTGCTGTATTTTACAGTATAATTTATGTAGATCCTCCGCATTCTCGTCGGTGATGTTGTAGTGATCGAGAAATCATGCTGCTGCGCATATACTGTACAGTATAATGGCGCCATCATCATGCAACCCAATCTAAGAATATGCACAGTAAATACTGTTTCCTATACTGAGCTCCGTGTCATACAATATTGCGTGTGATGTGCGTCCAGTACTTTACAGTAATTTTAAACCTAGGGAGGAGTACTGCGTGCCGTGAGTGAGAATAATACATTCATGTAGGTATAGTATAGGGCAAAATTATTTTCTTCCCGTACTACATATATATGTATATATATATATATTCCGTATGCGTGTACAGTACTGTACTGCATTTAATGCTGGTCCAGAGAACGAAGATGGGGATGAGGGCAATGATCTGGAAATCGTTTCGCGTGCTCCTTTGCCTCAACGATCGTCTGTTATACGTACGTATATATATTGATGTATGCGTACTGTATATATATGTAATTAAATACTGTACACAAGTGTATAGAACATACAGTATTTGTTATTGCTGACTGACTTGCTGTTGCTGCTTACATAATTGATGCTCAGCCATCGATCGGCATCATTCAGCAGCACTGGTCATGTATGTATTGTATATATGTATATATATGCAGGTATATATCTGCAGAAAGTAATTCTGCTGTACACATAGCTAGAGGCAGTATATATGGTATGCAGGCACTTTTTCCTCCTTCTTCCTCCCTCCCTTCCTTCCCTCCGTCGTCCCTCCCTTTCTTTATTGTGCTGCTGCACGATGAAGCTCATCCCCATCCTAGTTTCCCCGACTGGCCGAGCAGCAGAAGTAACGGTTCCTTGAGCCAGCTACAGTACAGTATACTGTACGTCGCGTGCAATCTCGAGGGCTCATCTCACCTATTTCTTTTGTCTCTTTCAGCGAGCATCCACGCTGCAATACAATACAATGATGGAGACGCCCCAATGCTGTAACTATACTGTACAATATATTCTTCCTCGGCTTTCTCATCCTACTTCCACTACAGTACTGCTCTTTTCTTCAACACCATATATATAGCACGACGACTGCTGTGCCGATGGATGTATAGTATATAGACGTGCTGTGTCCATCCATCCACTCTTCTAGTGTTTGTTTTTCTTTTTCTCATCATTATCCGCACAGTTATTATTGCTGTGCTGCTCGCTGCCTGGTGCAGCTCAATAATGAGACGAATGCCGCGTGATTTAACCTGCCCTTTTTTCCTCGGCATGTCCAGCACAATAGAGTAGAAATACTGTACTGCCCACGCAAGCACACAGCGAGCCAAGCAGCAAGTGATGAATCGTATGTGGGGCGCACTCTTCCCTCCAAGCATCAGTGAGGTCGTGGTCGGGCTGACTGTTGAACCTATAGTCTGGGGGCATTTTCCACTGCAGGCCCATGCTCAGTGGAGGCTCAGTCGTCACCCCGTGCACATCAGTATACTGTACTGCATAGGCTTTTATTTGCATGCACAGTATATATATATATATAGCATCAGTGGCAATAACTCGACCCAGCAGCAGCACGCAGCTGGTGCAGTATATTTTACATTATTTCCAATATCTAATGTACTGTATATATATAACAGTTTAGTGAAGTTGTACTCTTGCGATGAGGAAGAGGGCTAAAAGAAAAGAAAGAAAAAAAGGATTAACAAGTGTTACCATGATGCAGTGAGCAAAACACACGACTGTTTTCTGGTGCATTATCTGTCCTTTTTTCTTTTTTCTGCTTTTTCCTGCTTGACATTGTTGAAAGTGATGCAGATAGGAGTCATATACAGCAGTAATGTTCAGTACAGTATTGGGTTATTTTATGCACCTATATATACAGTACAGTATATACAAGCAGTGCAATATCTTTTCTCGTTTATATAGAGGTCGCCATCAGCATGATTAGGTTGCTCAAGGTGGTATTCCTGACTGCAGTGCTGGTCATGGTCAGTCAATTGAAGGACTTTGTCAGTGGTGAGTGCTGTATATATATATATATATATATAAAAAAAATTTTTTTTCTTTTAGGAGATCATTCCATGTTTTTCCCCCAATGTGACAGAGTGAGTACTGCAGCACTTTTACTACTTTTGCATACATGTTGTACGTCAGAAAAAGTTCTTATCAAACTACATAAAGTACGCTTCCGTGTAAAAAAATAAATAAAAATAAAACACAGTGCTAATGATGCGTTCATTGCTGCAGCAGCCAGCACGTTATTGTTGACTGACAGTGAAACTTGTGCATAAATGAGGCAGATTGTATTATTGTCACATATGTTCCTTTGATGCATTTGACATCGAATAACCAGCATGACAAAAAATACAGTACAAGCATCAATAAGCCAGCAGTAATAATAATAGGGCTTCAACATATCTGCAGCCAATACTATATACGGTAGATCGGCAGTGACATCAGTTACGCTTGGATTATATCCCCAATAATATAAATATATAGTACTGAGGTACTGTACAGTATAGTAGCGTAACGCAAGTACAGTACAGTACAGTACTGTCCTGTCTGCGCTGCTCTGCTGATGGTGAGTGACCCACAATACTCGATACATGATGGCTGTACTGTATATATGCAGGAGATGAGATCAGTATCATTGATGCTTTCTTTCTTTCTTTCTTTTTGACCAACATCCCCCGTTAATACATGAACTGTACTATATACTATACATATCTTCACCTACTGCTGTACAGGACAACAACTGGCCACCAGACCCCTGCTGCAGGGCTACTACGTGTTCAGCCACGAGTCGCCGTACTTGTCGCAGTTCAACTTCTTCGGCGCATACCAGTACTGCCGGTCCATCGGCATGTCCCTCATCAGCTTCGAGACGGTGGAGGAGGTGGACACAATAGCCGAGTACCTGCGCAATTCCAGTGAGTATTGTATTGTATCATTATTATTCAGAATGCCATCATATACTATTATAAATATGTGCTGTATTGAAAAAAAGAAAAAAGAAAGGGGGGGACGGGGACACAAATACTACTGTTTAGTGAAGTCTTATGTTGCATATTGACATACTGCTGCACTGTATATACTGTATATATATATATATATATATGCGCAATACACTCACACGCACAGGTGCCGAGAAACAAGAGTACTGGACTTCGGGCAACGTGCTCGGCACCAAAGACCGGGAGTTCGTGCAGTGGATCTGGATGAGCAGCGGGAGCCAGTACAACGCGAGTCTGGCCAAGTTCTGGGCCGGGGCCGGGGCCAACGTGTATGCAGGCAGCACCAGCACCAATAATCAGCTGGCGGGACGACAACAGCTGCTGCAGGGAGCTGGAGGAGGAGGAGGTGCTGGTGCTGGTGGTGTCTACAGCAGCCAGGCCGACGGTCCATACAGGTACAGTATTAATATTACAATTAAGACCTCATTTGCTGAAAATAAGTACAGTACTGCACTGCACATTATTATCAAACAATATATAGCAACCAGGACTGCATGGAACTGGCCCCCGGACCGCAGTTCCAGCCGGCGTCGTGCGACCGTCGCCTCCAGTACATCTGCGAGTCGGCGCAGTACTTTTACGTGAACCGGCGTCCGGGCGTCGTGGCGACGGCGGCGGTGGCGGCAGCCAACGCCAGACCGTCTCACCAGTACAGCACGGCTGCGAGGAACGTGTCGCGGCGGTGATGTGAAGGGGATGAAGTGGCCATATATATATATATATATATATGTCACTCGTTCATTCTTTGTCCTTATTGTGTGTTTTCACCCTCTGCTGCTGCTGATTCTTTTCATATACAGTACAGTACAGTGTATGCTTCTTTTTCTGCTAATACTACAGTGTATTATTTATGCACGCGATGCTCAACACGATGCATTCATCGATGCCGCCTCTTTTTATTTATTTATTTTTATTTTTATTCCCTATATATACAATGAATGTGATTGCGGCGACGTTCGATTTGCTGCGTCATCGTATGAACACAGTACTGTATAACGAACTGACACGATGCTGCACCGCACCCGAGCAATCAAAACACGATAAAGACGACGCTGACGACGATCGACACGAACCGCGACTGTGCATATGGTGTTTCTTCCACATTCAGTCAGCAGCAGCAACATGCTATATTGTAGTCGACTTGAACGTGCTGCTCCACCAGCAGCCGGGTTGTGGTGAAAAGGTAAGATTGAAAAAGGACGATCGACTGCTGCAAATTCTACCGATCGACGAGAAAAAGCATCCGACTGATGTGACGGTGTCTGTCATATCTCATGCAAGGGCTCTGCTGATGATGTCGAGGACAACAGAAAAAACAAAACAAAAGGTAAGTCCAAGAAAATAAGGATGAGGACAATAATAATAATAATAATAATAATAATAATAATCAAGATCTTCTGCTGCTGCAGCTTTTATACTTGCTATACTGTATATACAACACAACACACTGATGCTGAACTGCGTCATTTACGATGACGTGCTGCATTCCTCACAAATGAAGCAGGCAGGCCCGTCTATATACAGCAGTCATAATGCTGTACGTACAGTACCTGCGTATGCATCAGTGGACTAGCTGCTGAGTTTAAAAAACACAAGGACGGTCAAGATCCTTGTTGACTTGCATCACCTGTTTGCTGACATGCATGGCTGTACATAATATTATTATTATCATCATTATCATTATTATCTGCACGCACGTTATACGGTGCATTACTGTACTATACAGTCTTGACTTGAATAGAAATTGCATGACAGTTGACGATGACCCAGCAATCACTAATGATCCCTTTTGATGAGCTGCTCTTATGCCTCCGCCTCGATCCTCTTATATTGAATCATGAAATAAATCCGTGCATTATTACTACAGTACTTTATAGTGAATCCCTGATATGACGATAACGTATTGAACAGCGCGACTAAAAATAAGTGCTGTGCATGGATGCTCGTCATCATATACATGTGGAATAATACACGTACCCGCTCATGTGCCTTCTTTATTTCGCCGTGTTTATTTTTAAACCTTTTATTTATTGCACTGTACTGTACTGTACTGTACTCTCCTCGCGGTTGTACTGTCAATAAATCAAATCTCGCCCAAATCCATCAGCTGTAAAATAATGTTGCGGTGCGCCCTTTTGGTATAGACTTGCAGCACTTCTTTTTTTCTTCTCAACTTTATTCTTTATATTCTGTAGCTATCTATTGGTGTCTAAATGTTTCTCGCCCAATTTAACCTGATGCATACACAGTGCACTATCCGCATACTTTATCTCTCTCTCTCTTTTTTTTCTACCGGTAATATTGCCAGGATGAGTGCTGTACATACAGTACAGTATACTGATGCTATACACTACAGCACCTCGATCCCGATTCCCTAATTATCGTGCACGTGCACGATTGATGGCTGCTGACTTGTGCTGAGTGGCGGCGCGTGCTGCTGCCGCCAGATAAATGAGAGATTCGGTGCGATGAATTAATTCTTGCTACAAGCAGCACATCAGACGGCATATTACTGTAGCTGTGATACAAGCATACAACCCTTCTCAGTCGCGCTGTTGTTGATGCATGCTGTGTGCTCGACACGCAGAGGGAATAGTTGAGTTTGTTATTCACATAACGTACCGCACAGATGTCGCTCCAACTATTTGAAAGCACTGCCGCCTGCCCGCCGATTACGCCGGCAAAGCCATCATCTTCATCATGATACTGTAGCTGCAGCACTCCATTCACCTTTATTTTCTTTTTCTGTCAACTGTATTGAATGCTCAGTGGTCACTGCTGGATGCCTACCTAAATTGTACGTACATCAATTCAAGTCAGAGATGTATACCTTATTGAGTAGGCGGCAGGATTATTAACTGCTATAGGCAACTATGTATCCTTGCCTCCACCAGCAGTATCCAACTTTGCTGTCAATGATGCATGCTGAATTTGGCCATCATAGTGTATCAGGCCCAAAACAGCAACAATATGTTTTAACCCGTATAATAGTTCAAAAACGATTAGAAAAAAACAATTGGTTTTTTTTTTGTTCATGGGCTCTTCATCATCACCAGAGTTTTACTTGAAGAGTTTCGACTACAATAACCAGCAGTTCAACGTTTGCCCCGGTTCAACGAATGCTCATACAGTGCAGTACTATTATTCCTGAGAAGAAGAAGGTGATGATTGAGGAAAGGGGGCCATACTGCATAATGATGGCAGTATGCAGTAGTACAGTACATTACTGTACTCGAAAGTACTGTAGGTATTGAAGCAAAGTAAGAAATCGGCGGATATATTATTCTCGCATGATGTGTCACTCGTATTGTCGCACATGTATACAATACAATGGTATGCACTGATGTACCGCATTCGTTGATGCCGAGTTCGTGACCAAGACCCTCCTCCCTTTTATACATAGGGGCACATTTATGCAGGCGGGGAAACTATAGCCTCGTACGTCGTCATATACGCAGTACGTTTACTGTATATCGAGCCCTTGCTGTAGGATTTGTGTGAATATATCTAAAATATATATATATATATCAGCATGGGCTCTTCTTTCCTACATCCCGTATGCGACATGGATGGTGGCAACATTTCTACGTTCTCTCCTTGTATATTTTAAACTTTATTACTGCATATATGTATATATATATACTGTATATATGCACCATGAGCCCCTCGTCGTCGGTTTCGTCGCGGTTTAATTGCCTCCTGGGTTGATATTTCTTTCATTCCTGCGTGTTTACATTCGGCGGGTCATCGTAGGATCATGTATAGTATATACTGTAGTGCATGCTGGTGAGTCCGATTTAATCAAGAGCATTAAATCATGCAGCACTCATTCTTTTTTTCCCCCTCGTTTCAACTCATTTATTCGTCGCTCTCTCTCTCTCTCTGTCCCCCTTTTTATTACTCGCGTCCATCAGCACCCACCAACATTAAACTGCAACGAGGCAATTGAGCAAGGACAACATTCAGAAGAGAGCCCAGTTATGGGGATGATGGAGTCGATCATATTTGATGCAGCATAAGAGAGGAATTCATATAGGGGCATACAAGTACTGTACTGTACTGTACTGTACTGTACTGGACGCATGATGAGCGCATATATACGGCAGCAGTAGTTGGTGTATCGCAAACGAATAACCCTGCTTATATGCATATGATGGCCGCACCGAAAAATACACGCGCCGGTTTCACTCTCGTCGTCGTATATACAGTACCGGCGTTTTTCCCTTTTTATTTCATTGTACAGTACTGTATTTATTCAGGGATTTCACCATCAGGTCTCTCTCAACGGGGTGCCTGATGAGGTCATGATGGCCGAGTCGTGGTTCTGCTGGACGAGGTGTCGAGAATGAGGTCCTTGTTGTCCCATTCCAGCTCCACGACGTGTGGCTCTCGATGACTGCTGTGTAGCTCTCGGTCGTCGTCGTCGTCGTCGTCATCATCGTCGAGATATTCTGCTTCTCCTCTGTCTTCATCATCTTCTTCTTCCTCTTCCTCCTCTTGTTGCCTTTTGCCTCCCGCTGCTGCTGCTGCTGATGATGAAGCTTTCCTGCCTCGTCGTTTTCTAGATGACCTGCTGGGTCGTCGTCTGCTCGGCACCATGCGGGCGTAGCCGAGTTCTGGGCCAGACCGATGATTCCTGGCAGCAGCAGCAGCAGCAGCAAGTGCTGCCCGCAGTCGGGCCCAGACCCCGTCGAGGAATCGGGATAAATAAGCTGCATCCCCGTTGTTGCGATCATGATGATGATGATTTTCATCATTGATATTGACGTTTTCGTGACTATTATTAATAATGCCAGCAGCAGCAGCAGCAGCAGTCACCCCTGGCATTATTATTGATGGTGATCGCCCATCTCGGATAGGGGCACGTCGTCGACGACACGAGCGGACGAGGAAGAAGAGGACGAGGCTGAGGAAGACGAGGATGAGGAAGACCTCGACGCCGAGGGAGCTGCGGGCCTGGTGGCCCAGCACCTGGGACACCTTGGACGGACACGTGAAGGCGGCGAGGCGCAAGTGGTCGATCCGACGATTGCGTCTGTGGCTGGGAGACCGGCACCTAAAGAAGAAGAAGAAGAAGAAGGTGATGATGATGATGTTATGATGTTTCAATGTACTGTTGTAGCTTTTGTTGGTTCATCATCGTGACTTGATATATTTATACAATATATACTCTGATACTGTATGTATACCTCAGGCCTGCCGAGAGGTTCTTGGGCAGTCGGAGCTTCTTGAGCCAGCGCAGGTGGCAGTCGCAGTGCCAGGGGTTGCCCTGCAAGTCCACCACGGACACGGCGCCCCAGTCGGGCAGGAGACGGGCGTCGAGTCGAGAGAGGGCGTTTTGGCGCAGACTGAGGCGGACGAGGTGTTGTTGTTGTTGTTGTTGTTGTTGGTGGTGGTGGTGGGTGCTTGAACTACCACCACCACCACCACCACCCTCTTGTCCAATGACATCATTGCTATTGCTGCTGCTGGTGGTGGTGGTGGCATCATCATCTGCTCGTCGTCGGAATGCGTGGACGTGCACGTGGCGCAGACGTCGGTTGACAGACACGGACAGGGACTCGAGTCGAGGCATGCCGGCAAACGTGTGCGGGCCAATGTGGGTCAGACGGGGACACCTGTCGATGCGCAGGTCGCGCAGTTGAGGCAGACCCATCCTCATCATCATCATCATCTCCTCCTCCTCCTTATTCAACGATGATGATGATGATGATGATGATGGGAATGAAGACGCGTTGAGCCACTTGATGCCCGGGTTGTCGGACAAGTCGAGGATGCGCAGGGTGGCCGAGAGCAGGGCCAGGGGTTCCCGTGGCACTCGCGTGAGGGCGTTCCTCGCCAGGCCCAGCGCGGCAATCGGGGCCCGCATCCCGCGCACCACCTCCTCCGACAGGGACTCGTCCCGCAACCCCGTGCCCTCGAGGTACAGGCTCTTGAGTCGCGGCAGTCCCGACAGGTATCCGAGGGCCTATACATATCCATGCACGTGACGCAGCAATAAGAGAAGAAAAGAAAAGAAGAATAATAATGATGATGATGTTTCTCCTTCTTTTTTTATTTTTTTTCAGGGCAGCATAACTGATGTATACTGTATATACAGTACCTGCAGTGGTTCCTGGCCCAACAACGGGTTGTCTCGCAGGGACAGGCGTGTGAGTCTTGTGAGGCTCTGGAAGCTCTGCGGCGCCAGGACTCGCAATTTGTTCTGGCTCAGGTCCAGGTACTCGAGTCGGTCCAGGCCAAAGAGGGCAAAGTCCCTGACCTGGCCCAACTGGTTGCCCCCGAGTTGCAGCACGCGCAGGCCCTGCAGTCGGTCCGACGCGAACGTGTACTCGTCAATGTCCGCGATGCAGTTGCGACCCAAGTTGAGCACGAGGACTTGGGGCATGGGGCCGAAGGTCGTGCGGGTCAGGGCGCGGATGTGGTTCTCGCTCAGGTCCAATCTATAAATAGTGCAGGAGCAGTAGAGTATACATATACAGACATTATTTTTATTGCTCATGAAATTAAAAATCAATATATATACTGTATATGTATATATATAGTACTGTACTATTATGCATTCAGTATCAATTAGGATACATGCAGCTGCCGAACCTCTCCAATAATTAGTCGACTTATTTCAACGGAACCAGCAAAAAGAATAATAAAAAATCGACTCGAAGAGGCTCGAAATATTATGGAACCAAGAATATTTGTTGTGGGAACTATACTGTATACAATAAGGAATTCCACTAAATTTTGAATAATAATAATAATAATAATACTCTAACTGTTTTTCTGCGCCATAAATTGCTTCTAGAATGAGTTATTGACAGGATGTTGGACTTAATGCTGGATATGCTGAGGCACACAGCAGGGGTTCATTTGCCCGCCCAATTTCGTCAGTCCCATCCTTTCAAAACACATTGCCTTTTTTTTGGTTTGCTTTGGCTTTCCTGATGCGTCAAAGGAAATACGAGAGACTTGAGAGAATTCGACTTATTATAGTGAGGTTTGAGAGAAAATGAAGCTCTCGAGTACATAGTATACAGTATATTGGGAAGGTTTTTTTTTTTTTTTAAATGCAATGCATGGTTTTTAAGGGAATTCAGACCATAATAAGGAAACTTGACAACAACAAAAAACCGACTGAAAAAAGGGGAGGTTATTCAAAACACGAAAGAATAGCATTAATATAATACACAGGTGAGACCCACTTTCGGATGGACTTGGGCACAGTGACGTCGGTGCCCAGCAACGATGATGATGATGAGGAGGATGAGACAGGAGGAGGATGATGATGGTCATCATCATCATCCTTGTCCTTGTCCTCTTGTGGCTCTGGTTGTTGCTGCTCGAGCTTGCCACGGCAGTCGAGGCCCCTCGTGCGACCCAGGACCAGGTCGTTCGACGGTGGACACGGGCTGCACAGGGCCCAGCCCGGCTGTCGGTCCTCGATGCGCCGACACAAGTCGTCGGCCGAGCAGGTCATCGTCCACCTGCCACCGTGCGACGACGACGACGACGACAACGACAACAGCGTGTGCAGAGCAGCCCAGGCGAGGGCCAGCACGACGATCCCTCCATCATACCGTGCTCCTCTTGTTCTCATCATCGTCAATATTGGCTCGTCGTCCTTATACAGTATATATATATATACACTGTATATATTGCTGTGATGGATGAAAACCCTTGCCTTATTCTCAGTAACATCATAATCACGCTGTCTGATTACACGCTGTTCATCATCATAATATATGCATGATAGCATTCAATGCGAGTACACTATACAGTATAATTAAAGGACTGATTGATTGATTGACTTACTTGATTATCCCTCAATGTGCTGGCACCGATACTCCGCCTCCCAATCAGACGAGCCAGCAGCAGCAGCAGCAGCAAGTGGATATATATACTGTATGTGTATAGGGGTATACACAGTATGCTACAGCTGCAATAGGGTATGATGGAGACGTTCGTCCGTGAACGTGAAACTATAACTTTGGCACGCGTGTTCCCTGTCGTCTGGAGGATTCTTCCAATACTCCATGCTTCATCGCTTCACAACATATTATACAGCGCGTGTATTCATTATTATTATTATTATTATTATTATTGAACCGACGACGGATGATGATGATGATGATGATGATGAGTATGCCTCGATCGTCGTCGCAGTCAGGGTTGTATTATTCAGCAAGTATATAGACGGCACTTATCGGCGGACGATGAGTCAATCAGCATCATGATACACCACTTGATCTTCCTGTCTTATCTCATATAGTCCCAGCACCATGACTTTCGTACGGCGAGATGCTGTACAGTGTACACTCATCTATAGCTGTATACAGTATATACTGTACACGAGTAAATGCAAGCATCAGCATGAGTGAGATACTGTTGAAATACAGAACTCGCATGCGACGTGTACTGTAGAGTAGAGTACACTACAGTACATCACTGTTGTACTGTACGAACATAAGTCACGATGTCGTCCTCGTCAGCATGCAGCATACAATTTATATATATATATATATAGTATACCGTAAACGAGTCGCATATATGAAGGTCGGTTCATACAGCTTCAGACAGACCTCTTCTTCAAATACATATATATCCAACAGAGTTTCAACAATTGGAAAAAAAATTATCGCATATATAGCCCCATCGTTTGGCCGCGCATTTCACTGCTGTTAAACCGCCTTCAAACATGAGCAGCCTAATCAACTACAGTATAACATCAGAAGTGGATTTTCGGAACTTTTTCGATCCTTGGCTTATTATTATCGTATGAAGAAAAAATAAACCCATTGAAATCGGCAAATAAGAGTATTGTGTGTTGAACAGCAGTGCAATGCGGCCAATTAAGTCAATACGATGGGGCTATGCAATAAGTTCGAAGATAAAAAAAAATGCAATTGTTGAAACTCTATTGGACCTATGCAGCAGTATACTCTTCTTCAAAAGTGATGAATAACCAAATCCTCGTATACTGTATACTGTACAGTGCATGAAGAAGAAGGGAATATACAGTACCGCGATATGCTGAGGATTTCATTATATTCCTTATGCCGATGATCGAGCATGTAAAAAAAAAACAAGCACGATTATGTGCATAAACAATAATCGGCGGGGTCACCCATCGAATCACAGTCACAGTCACACACACACACAAACACACTCGCATATCAATGCTGCAGTTTTGATTGAGGTGTTGGCCGATGACCGGCCAACACCGAGTGTCGTCATCTTGACGTTTGTCTCCGCTGTATCTCATCTCTGCGTATATAAGCGTGTTATCTTCATCCCAGGCAAAATGCAGTATCTTGTCGAGCAACAGGAGGAGAGAAGAAGAAAGAAAGATAAGATCGTGTGCTTTCTCTCTGTCTTGCAGTTTTACACGCGCATCCGCAGCTCTTTGGTGGTGGTGGTGGTGGTGGTTGTGATGCATATGCATACAGTACAAGTGCAAAAGCATCTCATTTCTCTCACTCTCTTAATTTTCCTCTATTTGGCTTTTTCTATAGATCATGACTATTGCTTTGAATAATGTAAGAGAGCATCATCGTGAGCCGAGAAATGAAAAGTTCAAGGTAATTAAGCGATTCGAAAATGATGATGATGATGAGGCTGAAGACTGCTTTATTTCCCTATAACGAATACAGTACCTGTGCTGCATGCTGTGCCCTGCACGAGACAGTACTTGTACATACAGTGACACGAATATCATACTCACCGCTTATTATTATTATTACTGCTGCTGTTCCGCGCATGAAGCAGGGCCCTATCTAGTGCCTATTACAGTACAGTACAATACAGTACAGTATAGTAAGTATATAGGCGTGTGCGGTACTGTATATAGGCTCACTACCAGCATGCAAGCAGCAAAGGGCGGGGACTCCACCATAATCGGCAACAGACAGTACAGTACAGTACTGTGTTCAGGAAACGTGGACATTTTTTTTTTTTTTTTGTCGACGAGGTTTACTCTAAAATCACGCAAAGTTTCAGGCTCAAGTATACCGTAACTTGAATAATACCAGAGTGTATAAAGAATCAAATTAATATTATTTTTGGCCAGCGCAGATCGACTAGAGCTCAGCTGTACAGTACCTGTGTCATATTATTCGCGCATCAAAATCAGCAAAACTATAGCACAGTATAGGGGCTCAATTCTCAAACAAACTGCATTCAGCACAACAGTTTCTATATATATTTAAAGCCTGCTGTGAAGCCTTGCATACAAAGAAATCAGTTCAGCGGCAATATACTGTACTGCTGTATACGACGTATAACACGGCATCACCCCGACACCTTTTTTATATTCGAGGCACAGCAAAGCTCGACTGTCTTTGTGAAACAAGTTCAACTCATCATTGAAAAATGACGCATCAAGACACATTTTGATCATGGAAAACTTCAAGGGAATCAACAGTGCAAGAATAATAGATACGGTAATTATAAATATTGTACACAGCATGTGTGGAGTATATAGAGTGGAGTATACACATCATCAGCATGTCAAGCTTACATCTGTCTTTGTCGCATTTCTTTTTTTTTCCTTTTTTTATTTTTAAAGTCCAAAATTCGGCATAATTGCACATTCTCTCATTGTGCCCGAAAACTGTGTTCGGTCGAGGTTTTCATTCGCAACATGCAGAATTTCTCTTTGGAGAACGACATGATGTAATAAGCGGTTGTTTCGTCTTCCCTGAACCGGGTACAAATCTGCTGTCTATTGTGTTTGTGACTATATATAACACGATGTTCGTTGTGATTGGACGCAACAAGAGTACAGTACTGTAAAATCAAAAAAATTAATAAATAAAAACTTTAGCCAAGTGAAAATAATGTGCTTCAATTGTCCCAATTTGGCGAATCTATTCAACTTTTGCTAGCTTTCAGCAGTCTTTTGCACAGTAGGTGCAGCAGTTCATCAAGAGATATAGAGGAGCTAGTAAGTACCCGCAAAGTTTTTATTTTTCTGGCACGATACTGTACTGTGCAAACAAGCAGGAGCTACATGAGTGAATTGCGCGTGGATTCCTTCATCATCATCATCATCATCGGGGGCTGCTGCTTCCGGAGCTGAGTTTCGGGGCCGGTTTTAATTCTTATTGTTTCAAGAACTTGACTCTTTATAAAGTCGAGTTTCTATATACTGAACGCCGTCTTCCGCACGTGCTGTGGAAGCTATACACAGGCTACAGAGGGAATTAAAATACATCGACTTCATCGAGACTTGTTTGCTGTCTGCCGGACGACATATAAAGTAGCAGTAGTACATTCTGCTGCATGTACTGTACATATACAGCAAGCAGCAGTGCTGCAATACCGCTGAAAATGCCCTCCTTGATTCCACACGTGTTCCAATGAAATATATACATTCTATATACAGTACACAGTATACAACATGACTAGCATAGATACTGTTACACTCGTCGTATATAATTTACATGGGGGGAATAATAAGGAAGGAATAGGGACGACGACAATGATGAGAGGCTTCATCGAACAAACCCTCATCTATCGCATATATATATAGCCTCAGCAAGCACCAGCAACGCTATATAGGTGTGCTATACTGCATTCCTTTTTCTTTTTTTTTATTCCTGTCGTCGGTTCATGCATGCACTCCTCATGCATCAGCGGGAAAAGGGAAAAATAAAAAAAAGGAAAAAAAAGAGGTACAGCCCTGTGAAAGAAGGAGAAAGTCGAGAATTATGGCCGGGACTTGTTTTCGTGCGTGGAGCACGCAGCACGAGTCGCGCCGGGAGCAAATGGTTGTTATTTTGGCACGGGACATCAGGGACGACGCGGAATTTCACCGCCGCACTGCTGCTGCTGCTGCTGGCTCATTATTCTTCTTCTTCTTCTTCTTCTTCTTCTTCTTCCCCCTCTCCCTCTTCTCCTGTGCCATGTATATTGTGTAACACACGCAGCTGCTGCTGCTGCTCAAGCACGCTTCGTTCGTATTCTTATATATACAGTACAGTACACTGCACAGCAGCTCCGAGTCTGACGTACTGCTCTACTGTACTGCACCTACCTAAAGGCATGCCTACATGTATATGCAGTGCTCACGTATACCGTACAGTATATACAGCAGGCTGTACGTACCAGGCTGCCTATAGCTGCGCCAAATGCCATCATGCAGCAGCAGTCGGGTGCAGCAGCACCTGCTGGGCTACTTTACTGATGCACGTCTCTTTCCCCTAATTCGCATATACACAGTCCCAGCAGCAGTATAGAAAGAATAAGGCACTCTGTATATATCCTGCAAAAACTCTTTTTTCTTTTATTACTCTTGTTTACGTATATACAATATTGTAATGCGTTTTCGTTTCTGAGTTCGTTCTTTCTTTCTTTCTTTCTTTCTTTCTTTTTGTCCGCGATAAAGGTGCTGATGGCGGAAACCGAAAGTGTTTCTCCTATTGCCATTATATCTGTATTGCTGATGCCGGGATGACACGAACGAAGGCAACATTATTACCTCGATCGTCTTCACCCTGTATATACGCAGTATACGTGTACCGTAAATAGGTTCTAGAGTGCTGAGGTGGGTTAATTTATTTCCACTGCCGACAGCGCAGCGAGGAAGGAAAGAGAATAAGC